AGCTGAAAGTTGAACTTGAAAGCTTGCATAAATTAAAATTTTATCCGTCTGTACTCTTATTGATGATAAACATGACCCAATCAGCGCGCGAGAAATTAGATAGTTATTGTAAAAAGATATATGATAACTGGGAGATACTGGCGTTTCCACCCGCGGGAAGAATCCAACCATCCCGAAATCGGTCCATTTTTAGCGCTGGCCGAATATTTAATTGCATCGCTGGCGCGGGGGATTTCTTCACCTCGTGGTTTTGCCGGGATTACTCTGCGAAAATCGGAGGAAATTGTGACCTAGGTACTTCATACCCCAAGAAGGTAAGCCGTGATGATAAGTTAACTTCTTATTTTAACTACTTGTCAGCGTAGAAACGAAATATCTAGCCCCCGGACCTCATATCTGTTGTAATTTAGGCGGTCGTAAAAGTGTACCGAATGTTCAAGATCCTCTTGCTGTCTTCTTGTACCTTCACTGTTAGCGTTGGATATTTTCAACATCGTAACACGTTAGTTTATTTTCATGGTAGGCAGTTTGATTTTCTAAAAAGTCAATCATTGCCTCCATGGGTTAAATTTGTTTGGAATTCACTCTCTAGATCTATAGTTACTTATTTTGCCATCCTCTTTCAAAATGTTTAAGACTTGTACTGTACATATCAGCTTATGAAAGTTGACTTATGAGTTTATGTTATCGAGGTGGAATTCAGTTTCAACCAATTTCCTGAAGTAGTCTGTTTGTGTTTAAGTCTCTTGCAAAAGGACTAAGCAAATAGCGNTCACTCTCTAGATCTGTAGTTACTTATTTTGCCATCCTCTTTCAGAATGTCTAAGACTTGTACTGTACATGTAAGCTTATGAAAGTTGACTTATGAGTTTATGTAATCGAGGTGGAAAAAAGTTTCAACCAATTTCCTGAAGTAGTCTGTTTGTGTTTAAGTCTCTTGCAAAAGGACTAAGCAAATAGCAGATAATTTGAGTATTTTAATTTTATACGAAGCCTTGAATTTGTCATTTTATCACTTTCAGTTGAAACTTTGTTCATTTGCGACACTGCTTGTGCAGGATGAGATGAAAATCTGTAACAAGTTAACTGTTTTCATGTCCGTTCAGTTTAAAATATCAAAAAATAGCTGAGAGATTTGTATATGGATCAACAACAAGTCAAATGTTCAGGCTATATTTATGTTTGAAGTGGATTTCCTTCTATGCTCCTGGACATTATTTTGTTATCTTTAGTTTTGTTATTTGCCTCTTATTACATCTGATTAAATATGACGAGCTAGCTACTTACCGAACGTCAAAAAAAGGTTTCAGTTGATTTTGGCTTAATTTTACGGGACATCTGTCCACTTCATAATTTTTAACATCCTGGTGGCCTTCTGTCAATAGCACCATAATGTCAGACCCCACACAGGAAGATCTGTCTGGCAGTGAAGGAGATCAAATGGGTAGCTCACCCCCAAGTAAGTGACAGTAGAATACTGAGCTTACTTTGTGATGTGGCTAAATGTAATTTAGGCAAAGTTTGAGTCGAGCCAATGCTGGCCAGCAGT